TCTCAATTTGTAAATTCACTTTTTCACATAATTTTATTAGTTAGTATAAATTCTTCTCATACAAATTATTTGATGAAATGTATAAACTGTTTCGAATACTGTATAATTTTAAAAATTAACCATTCACTGTAAATTGTATTTATTTATATGTAATTGTTCTTTAACTAGAAGTATTTCGAAATATTTTCAATTATTAGATATGCGAATTTTACAATACGGATTTATAAAAAGAAATAGCTGAATCAAATAAAAATCGAATAGAAAATAATAGAAAATAAATAATTACCGAGTAATTTGTGTAGAAACTTCAGTAAATTATTCCATTTACAAATAATCACAATGATAGAACTTCCTAAAAAAATATGACTGCACTGCTGCAACGATTGTTCTATAGTGCGCAGGAACGTGTTTACTGCCTGCAATTTTGATGGCCATTCATATCGTGTAAATGGTATATTATCAACGCGAACATATATAGATATATAAATTCTTCGAAAACGTTCTCTAGCAAAGTTTCGCAGCGATACCGTACGAACACAATAAAAATAAAAATATCACACTTCCATATTATTATGATCCATTGAGATCATGAGATATTTATATTTAAGCACCTACATTTTGAATCATCTTACAATGTTAATATTAAATTTATAAACACGTTTTGAACGTTCCTTTCTTTTCGTCAATAAAGAATGCGAATAAAAATATAGAAAACAACGATTCACACGATCTACATAAGTTGAACTAAATATTTAATATTTTTATGAATATCATAGAAGAGTCAATAGTGTGAGAGTAGAAGAAGCAAGATTTATTATGGGAATTTCTATTTTCGTAACTGATAGAATGAAGATAAGAAGTAACGGATAAAATTATAATATTAACAATGATTAAATTTTAATAATATGAAATATAATTACAGAAACACGTACGATCGCAATTATATCCAAATAACGAATGACGTAGTATCTACAGTGGCCCACAAAAGTGTTCGTACGCCTTTTAAAACGCAATAACTTTTTTGAAACAGGTTTGCATTTAATAGCAAAATTTAAAAAAAAACATTTTAGTCATTTTCTAGTATACTACTCCCTCTATCATCTAAATAAAATTTAAGTCACTTAGTCCAGTTTCAAAAAAGTTATTAAGTTTTAAAAAATGTACGAACACTTTTGTGAGCCATTGTATGAAGAAAGTTTGGAGGCGCTACATCCAACTGAATTTCCGGATGGCACATATCCATAAACAATATAATAGGTGCGAATTTAAATATTCTATTAGTAGCACCCTTGAACCTAGTGGTTCCTAATGAAGTTTGGTTAACTTAAGGGAGGATTCTAGTGTGAAGCCACGCGCGTATGTTTTTAACACACTAACTTTGTTAGAGAATTTATTATAAAAAAAACTATTATACCTTTTGCAGTCAAATTGACAAGTTTATTTGTCTCTGTTTCTACGACGTTCTAAAATTTTTTGGAACAAAAAAATGTTAAAATTAGTGGTACTGCATATTCTCAAACATAGTCGCTTTTCAAAAACGGCTTCTCACGGTGTCCATAATTCCGGCCATTATGTTTGTCTGAAATAAACAAGAACGTAAAAGTTCCTTAATTAGTATGAATTTGGCTATGGCAGGTATTATAACAAAAGAAAAAATCGGTAATTAAAAAAGTGTCGATATTTTGAAATTCGATCATCAATTTTTGCATGTTTTGTCAAACTTTGGAAGCCTAAAACATAGAAGAAAATGAAAATTTTCGGTTGATTCTAGTAGGGGCATGTACTAAATGCGTACTTAAAATTTTGAGTCAATTGATCGAGTAGATTTCAAGATATCATGGACCATGTCTGAAAAACATGGTTCCGAGAAAACTGCCTTTAAAATTTAGTATATCGATAATGATATAAGAACATCAAATAACCATAACTTCGTTAATTTTAAGAGTTCGCACGTAAGGTTCCAGAGATGTATTTTTGAAACTATATCTTTTACGAATGTACGAAAAAAAATTGATTTTTTCAAAAATTCACACTAGAACATTCCCTTAATAGATTGTAAAAAACTTTAATTTCCAAGTTTCATGAGAAAAATTGTATCAGTCATATACAGCTGACGTGGCATCTACAGTGTTAAAAAAATAAGGCGTTAGAAGATTCGTATCACGAGTGTCAATATTTCACGTGAAATAGATTGCTCTAGAAAGGATGCAATTAATGCACTCTGTTTTATCAATAGAAACATGACGTTGATACAATATTTGATATTGTTGATACAATAATACTGCAGGACAGTAGCAACACGAGTTTTCATGACAATCGGTAGACATTTCGTTGATCGCGCGTGACCAGAGCCTGATAGCAGAAATCGGACATCGCAATCTCAGACTTTCTTTATCCTACTTTGTCAGACTGTTTCCTGGACTATATCGGTTTTAATGATTCTGTTTTGTTATCATCACCAATATATTTATGTACAATCACCTCGTGATCAATCACAGGCCGAGAAAGATGTGTGCTTGTCTGTGTAAAGCCTGTATAAATAAAAGTGAAAATGTGTGCTTGAGTAACGTGTAGAAAATTAGGTTTTAGGTCTTTTCATGTTTACGTTAAAACAATGCTCAGAAAATTCAAGGATTGCACTCATTGATGTTTCGTTATTCACAATCTAGTAAATAAAAAAAGTAATAAAATTAAGAATACTCCGAAGGCCATACACGATTACAATTTTATAATGGGAGACGTTGATAAATCAAATGATAATATCAGATACTGTGATATAACACGTAGTAGAAACAAAAAATATTATTATTATTATATTTTCGTACATCTTTTAGACTAAGTAGTCTGGAGTGTTTACATATTATACAATATAAAAAGGAAGGCGGAACAAGGACGCATTTGCAGTTTCTTCTGCAAATAGTGGTTGATCTAATTGCAAAATGCCAGCAAACATTACCAGAAATGAGTAAGCTATTTTATTGAATATATTTCAGCAACTGCTAACGAAGAAAAACTAGATTAGAACGACTAGAACGACTGTTCACGTCGAATTAATAGAAAGAGGATTAGGAAGAAAATGAAATACTATTGCCAGACTGCGACGCAGGTTTATGTATCCCATGCTATAAGATATATCACACAAGCCGTAACTATATGTAATTGGATGTACATTTTTTTGCAATAACATTTGTAAAACCCGTTTAAAAGTTTTTTTGTACTTATTATCGCCGACAGAATCATTTGAAACAAAACAAAAGTTGCACATTCTTTTTGTCTAAATTAATAATTTTATTCCACTATAAAAGGGTTAATATTGCAATAATCAACCCTTAACGCTCTGTTGACTCCACTAACATGATTACGATACAAATAATGTGCAAGCTATTTGTCTCTTTACTTATCAATTTTATTTATTTACCCAGTACTGCATCTTAACGTGCTACTTCTATAAGTTTGAAGTTAAATTATTTTTAATTTTCTTTTATCGACAATGACCTGGAGATAGAAAAATGTTATGATGAGAATTTAGAGTTAAATGAAAGCGATGTTGATTTCACAGTACTCAAAGATAATTTAAATATTTTATCATCCGAAAACATTGTAAGTGATTTCAATTCTGATACTTCAATTATCTATGAAACCGGTTATTCTGACTCACTAGGTTTAACTTGTCGGTCTGAATTTGAGTCGCTTAAATACGCAACTGCTTTTGAATATTTTATATTTATTTTGTAAATATACTTTATTTTAACGTAAATTTGACCTTAAATTTTATCCGTTGGGTTTGACGTTATTAAATGGAGCATTCAGAATATTTGCTTAAGTCCCAAAAGTTTCTTGCAATTCGGAAATGAAGGGTTCCTGAGGCTATTTGAAGTAACTTTTCCCTTATCGAAAATGCAATCCGCGGTTTTGTTTACGTGTTATTAACGAAAAACACTGACCAATAAGAAGCGAGCTCGGCTGGCAACGAACGCACAAAGCCCAGTTCCGCTCAGTGATTTTCTTCGAAGCACAGGGTACCGCCATATGAAATAAACAATATATGCAGAGACGTAAATTGTGGCAGACCCGCTGTAACCGACGGTACCCTGCGCTCTTAGAACGTTCGAAAATCGCTCTTGGCCGTTCGAAGAAAATGGTATCGGGTGTCATTTCCTCGGACGGCCGAACGACGAACGACAAGGGCCCACGGTCGAGGCCTGGATTTTTTGGCAGTGAAACGTCGACTGCCGAACGAACGCGTCGAATAAACGATTATCCGCGAACAAGTCTCGGTCATTCCTCGTGACATCCACAAGTGTTTCGGATTATCAATGATTAATTAAGTGATCAGTTTGGTGACAGTGCTGTGAAAGATCAGCCGTACGTTGTACGAAGTCAGTGCTCTTCGACATCGTGAGCCACAATTTCAGCCAGCAAATGCATCCTCAACTAAAAAAATGAGTGAGTTTCTTATTGATAATATTCTTTATATTTCTCTAATAAACAAATACTTTACGTCCCTTAACGCGATTATTTATTATTAAATCAGCTTTGCGAATCATTCGTTGAATTCTGTTCGGACACGGAATTATTTAAATTAAAATATCATTTACGAACTTTGTTAATCTTCACTGTACACCTTGCATAAAAATTTCATATGGTACACATGAGGTGTCATGCACTCCAGAAAATTAAAACGGCTGTCACGGTTAAACTACATATTATTTCGGCTCCGAAAAATTAGTAAATATTCTTCAGACGTTCTAAAATAAAGGTGAACAGCGTTTTTCTTAAAAATATCACTGTTACGTAGTAAAAAAAATCCGGAAATTTCTCGCTTCGTGACTTGTTCAATACTTCGAACGCGGCTCGAGCCCATCCCGACCTTCTGTCAAAGCCTCGTGCTGCGGGCTCTCGAACTTCGCGCCGTCACCCCTCATTGGTCAGTGTTTTTCGTTAATAACTCGTAAACAAAGTCGCAGATTGCATTTTCGCAAAGGAAAAAGTTACTTCAAATGACCTCAGCTACCCCTCATTTTCAGCTGTTAAAATAATTGTGGAACACCCTGTATAAGAAAAAGATTTAAGCAAATATTCTGAATGTGCTGCATTTAATAACCCCAAACCCAACAAATAAAATTTAAGGTCAAATTTACATTAAAATAAACCATAAATTATTTATATTTATAATATAAATATATATAAATAAATATATAAATAATAAATAAATAAATAAATATATAAATATTTTATATTTATAAAATAAATATAAAAAATGCAAAAGCAGTTGCGTATTTGATGCGAGTCAAATTCAGATCCACAAGTCAAACCTATTGAGTCAGAATAACCGGTTTCACATTTTTTGTTTCTAAGTTATTGAAATTATAAAAACTCTTTC